TCACTCCAAAATCTTGCCAAGAAAACTCCAAGCACTTTTTCCAGATAGTGGCCAGGAATCAGTACTGAAAATTTACTGTGAAGAAAATGAAATAGAATGTACACATCTGGACTGAACCTTTAAAAATGAGGTTCTTGAGGTTTACAAGAATTACATGATTTAACACTTTAAGAAGTAACAAGATCATTTAAATTAAATAGGAAGCAGATAGCCACTATCATTAATGAGTGAAACATTCTAACTCTCTAATTTCATGATTCTGATTTATATTTCATTTTTTTTCAAAACTGTCCCTTTATTATAAATTAGACAACCTGTGCCCCATTGGGTCATTTCAGAAATATTTTTTCACTTAAGCAGAGAAACAGAATGATCGAAGTTAGGCCTCAAAACAAGCAATGGGAGCAGGAGAGACTTCTGACTTCCTGCTGATTTTCCCATGGGATTTCCTTGTGGGAATCTGGCAGGAAGCAGAAAACTTCCTTTTCCTTCTCACAGGTAAGTGGTTGCTGCTGGGTAGGAAGAGAGAGAGAGAGAGAAAGAGATGGCTGGGAAACTGTAATGGAATGTTGAAAATGAAGCAAACCATCAATTCCCCAAATTTCGTTCTCTTGGGAATCATGGGTCACGAATTTTGAATGCATTCTGTAAATAAGCCCATTTGAGGTGGTAACTTGATTCAAAAATTGTCACCCTGTGATACACCATTTTACTCAGTTAAAGATCATGACAACAAGAGTTATGGTATGACCCAAGCTGTTCTTTTTTTCTTCAAGAAACAGGTTACAACATGTAACTTGCTAAAACTAGTAAACATAGTTGATACTTGAATGTACAGGGGAAAAGAAGGGTCCCGGACCGGAGGATGTGGTAGCACAGTGGTTTAATGATGCTGGAACTGCTGACCAGAAATGGTGTATACTCTGGTAGTTTGATCCTGGCTTCACGACACAGATGAGCTCCTGTTGCTCGTTCTCTGGCTCCTGCACACCCAGCATTTTGAAAGCATATTACAAATAGATAAATGGGTACCATTCGATGATAGGTGTGTTCATGTATGCAAGAGAGTGGAAGGCAGCCCTGGGCCTAGCCGGTGAAAGGCAACGTGACATAAGGTGAGGCGAGGCTGACCGAGGAGCCCAGAAGAGCGAGCAGCCCAAGTGCTATTAGTTAGCTGGTGTAAAGCTAGTTTTCCTCTCCTCGATGCACCAAGGATAGGTGTGCAAGTGACAAACAGAATGAACTAGCAATCTATGCTGCCAGGACTGCATTGTGTCTAGCATTTGAAATTATATGCTGTATGCTAAATAAAAATAAGGATCTAAGACCATCCACAAATTTGACTCCTTCCAAGTAGACCTTATTCTAGCAAAATACACATCTGATTAATGTCACCAATTATATAAGCCACTATTGAATTGGTTCCATTACTTGGATTACCTAGACAATGTGATTATGGAAGGTGTAGTCACGCATAAAAACTAAGCTAAGAAAATCATATATGACATAATCCCTAAAACAAATTGCTTATATATCCCAATGTCACGTGAAATATAATATTTTCATTTTTATTATATTTTTAAAAAATTTAAGTAGAGAACTTGTATAATGGTAGTTGTACGTTATATTTAGCTAGTTAATTTGTGAAAATTATTACTTGATGGCAACAAAACTGTCAGTAGATGTTTCTGTGGGATGAGCTATGAAAATGCAAAATTAAGTAGTGTCACAGATATAATTAATCCTGCTGCAGTGTTTTTTCATTGAAGGCAGTTCAGATAATCTGATATAAAATGTTGAGAAATCATGTGATGATAAATCTAGTGATTTGTATGAATGTATGAATATGTGAGCAAGCTCTACAAAATATTTTTGGGGCAATTTACCAAAATTGTAAATATAACTTTGACTTTTCATATATTTTCAGTGGAGCCAGCAACACATACACACACACACACACACACACATGCCCAAATTCACAAAATTTAGGATTACATTTTTCTTGCCATGACATTTTTATTTTGCTTTTGTGATAAATTGGACTCAGAATGGCATTTATTGACATAGTTCCTTTTGGTTACCACTTGATTCTTGTCACCCAGTATTTCATTTCTTCTTACCACTGAAGTAAGATTACATCTTACTTACTCTAGCCTTGCTGTTTTCCTGATATACTGCTTGAGCCAGTAAGCAAGCATGTGGAAATTAATCTGGCAATGGATTTAATGAAAACATAAGACACTGCTGAGTATAGTTTATCTTCTCATATTGCCATCTGATCTATATGGAGGCTGAATTTTTTATCATCGAGCTAGTTACTAGATTGTACTTCTGGTTATACTATGGAACTTCTTTTTAGAGTTTTGATTCAAGATGATACTTTTTTGATCATTATTGATTTCCAAATGCACAGGTGTGGTGTATTATGGCATAGAATTCAACATTTTTTAAGACTCTGGGGTTTTATTTCTAAAAATGTATGTCATTGGAACAGTATACGAGTTCACAATAGTGAGCTGAGTAATTTTCCTTACTTACACTTCCTTCCTTACATATAATCAAAGATATTTTAAAATATAATTTTAGAATACATCTTTCTTTTATCCTGTGAAGCTAAATTTATTTCACATTCTATAGATCACACTGAAGATACAGTACCATTTGGCACAGATTGAATCTTTTTAGCAGTATAGTTTGCATATCTAAAAGGTTTATTTTTAATGCCTTTGAGAAGGATTTGATTTCATGGTTTGTATTTTATCCCAGTCTTAAAAAAACTTTTAAACCAAACATTATTGCTTTTAAAATATTTTTGAATCATTTTGTAATTGTTGGAGGCAGCATTAGATAGAATGCTTAGCATATATATCTTGTTTGTGAAAAATAAAATAACCTTTGCACATTTCATAAATAGTTATCTCACATGCTTTATTCACTTCACTGTTCTATAATAATTCTATCAGTAATGTAATCTTCATTATTTGTGCTGAGTAAAATGGTGGAATAACAATAAATATTATCCATCCTCATATTGCAGGTATGTTTCATACTTCTCTATCAACAGAAGCATTGATCTTGTTCCATACCTAGAAAGATGTAAATATTATCTGTTACCTGAATGAGAGAGGTGCATCCTAAATATTAAGCAAATGTGTAGAATTGTCACTTAATAGAGAAGGATTACCTTTTTTCTTATGTTATTTTATTTTTCATCTCTTCTTACTGGAAATTATGGGTTAAGGTTTTCTTTGTGTTAGAAGGGCACTGTTGCATGAATAGATTGTTGCTGAATTTTCTAAATCTAGAGTTTAAAATAGGTGTATAAGTAACTAGCTCTATACCCATGCTTCACTTCCAAACTATGTGATCAGCTTAGTTTTGGGGGAGGCAAATAAGGGAGGGTGGGAATTGTGCCTCTGCCTACCAGTATCCATCAATATTCTGGCTAGCGTTCTGTCAGTGTGTGAGAGAGTTGAGGGCTGTTTGGAAACTGAAACAGTATTTGCTGTGTGAGCAAGAAGGCAAGACAGCAAGGAGCCTGGGCGTGGCTTAGCTCCTGTATGAAAGCTGGTTGCTGCTGCGAAATAAATAAAAGAGAGAGAGAGAGAGAGAGAGAGAGAGAGAGAAATCTGTATATATAAAAGCGAAATACCACTCATACATCATCACAAAATCTCCAGAACCGTAAAGCCTACAAACTTAAAATTTGGCACGTATGGTCCTCTTGGCTTTTAGGTGCTTGCTAAGAAAGGATTTTTCTAAATCAGTGGTCACCAACCGGTGGGCAACGACCCACTAGTGGTCTGCGAGAAAATTTTGGTGGTCCGCAGAGAAATGTCAACCCCAGAGCAACCCCCAGAGCAATTAATCCAGGCTGCGCAGGAACACAAGGCTGTGCCGCCCACATGGCCCGCAGGAACCCTTGCCTCCCACTCACTCCTTACCTGGCAAACTTGCCTGCTAAATTGCTATTTTTCCTTTTCTTTTTTTTCTCCGACCATCAGCTGTTCTGCTGTGCGGGAGATTTAGATTAGCTAGAAAGCAGGAAATCGTTGGATTTCTTGCTTTCTAGCTAATCTTTAGATCTTCGGCTCCTCTTAAAAGCAGAGCCAAACCTTCGTTAGGACTGAAGCTTCTATTTGTCAGTGCAAACTCAGGTAGCCAATAGCAGATAGATATGATCTCTGAGTGAATCTGTGATTCTGTGAGCAACTTAATCTGCCCTCCTGCTTTGCCTGATTTTGGGTAAAAGTTGCTCTTTTTTATATTAAAAATTCAGTATTTACATACATGGTGTATTGTGAGTTAATTTTGTGAATTTGCTTGCTAGCAAATGTTATGAGTTCGCTTGCAAGCAAATTTTATGTGACAGGCTCAGGTAGTTGATGCCAGAAAGATAAATCTCTGAATGAATCTGTGATTCTATGAGCAACTCAATCTGCCTGCCTGCTTTGCCTGATTTGGGGTAAAAGTTGCTATTTTTTTAATAAAAAATTCAATATTTACATAAATATTTATAATATTTACATACAAGCCATGCCCAGCCAGTCACATGACCGCCAGGCCACACCCACAAATTAGGCCACACCCACAGAACTGGTTAAGAAATTTGAATCCCACTCCTGCCTCTGTGTGTTTGTGTGTGTGAGAAAGAGAGGGGGGGAGAGAGGTAGGATCAGATCTCTCTCCCCCCTCTCTCCCCCCCTTCCTCTCCCTCCCTCTCCCCCCCCCCAGAGGTATATACCATGCATTTCGCCCTTTTAATGCCTTTTAAAACCCCCCTCCCCCCCCCCCCCCAAATCAGCTCTGTTATTCCAATCCTTATGTTGAGGTGTAGTTAAATCCAGGGGTATTTGTGTATATTGAACTGTGTATGAGAACGCAGCCGTAATGTTTTGATATTTTAATCTTAAGGACAATATCTAGAGAATGCCTCTCCCTATGTAATGACTTACCTTCAGGCCCATCATTTAGTCTTTGTTTCCTATTGACTTATCTAGAGGAAAGATTCCACAGAAAGAGTTGGAGACACTGTTTCCTGGAAAGAGTGCTGATTTTACAAGTGAAAACTTTTCTGCTGCTTGGTATTTAATAGAGAACCATTCAACAGCCAGGTTAGTGTGAATTTTGTGTTAATATTTCTTTTTCATATTTAAGGAGTGTCAGCAATGCGTTTTGGCAAAGAATTGTGGGTGATGTAGCTGCAAGTCAGTCCCTCCGAAACGGATGAGGCTTATGATCTGGATGAACTTGGTTGCATTACTTTAAGTGGAAACTACATTCTTCTCATTTAATCTGGGTTCATGTCTCTGCTCCTAATTGTTTTTCAGTGTGGATTTATTGTAAAACACAAAATAAAGAATGCAGGTTTTTAGAAATAGACATCTTTACAATAGGCAGTGCCTTGATATTAGCACATTTTTAAATAGTCCTTCAATGTTTTATTGCTTATTTAGGTGAAAATTTGTATTCTCTATTTGACAATTCCATTGTAACATCCATTATTCTGTAACTTCCCATATTTGAAACCAAAAGCTTTTTTTTTCTCCTGGAATTCAGTCATCTAGACAGTAGCCATAATTCATAATTGGAGTTCCTTGTATATATTTACTCATTCAAATTAAATATCCCTTCTCTTGGTATGTTTGCTGAACTAAATACATTTGTCATTATGACAAGAATAAACAAAAGTACAAGGATAGAAAAGCGAAAAATTAAAAGGCAAAGATCCAATTATTGTTTTAAACCAGTAACAGCAACAAGGCAGTGAGAGATTTGTATAAATGACATTTCAGTCTGCTATATCATTCAGCTGTAGGCGATTTTGTTAATTTGTCTATTTGTCAACTTCCTATTTTAGGGTGAGGGATTCTCCATTTCTCTCTTTCTCTCTCACACACATACACAGTCTCACCCACTCTCTCAGGCAGAAACACATAGAGCAAAAAAGCATTTTAGTGACTAATACAATAACTCTTGTTTCATGCTCATTTAGCAGATACTGTACAAAGCTTTTGTTGGCATGGAGACCAACAATATTCTGCTTTTTCTACCTTTCCTGAATTATTTCCATGTATTCCTTATCTTCCTGAAGGTGGAGTTTTCATGAGTTACCAAACATTAAGATATTCTTTCTCTTTGTATAAAAAGTACATACTGGAATTACCTTGCCTCCACTGGATTGGTGGATTACAGCAAGTCATCATATATTTTCTCTGTTGGGCTTGATATTTTATTAAGATAAATATGACCTGTCATTTCATCTTTATTGTCTGAATGCCATCTGTCTTTTTCTCTTTTTGGTTTTAGCTTTGATCAGCTTAAAATGGCAGTGATAAATCTGAGGAAACAAGCCAACAAGAAAAACGAGGGCAATCTACAGTATGTCAAAGGAGGTCTCAGCACTTTTTTTGAAGCACAGGATGCCTTGTCAGGTAAGTCTCAGGACTACAAAAGGAATCTATGAATTCTAATGGAGTGGAGGAATCTTAGGGGTTTAAATGATATAAGCACAAACGGCAGTGAAAATGTCTGATAAGCTCAATTGACACATCAATTGAGAGGGGAAATTGGTCAGATATTTTATAAAGTACCTGCGATTTACCATTACTAAGGATATGGCTAATTATATTTCTGTACCTGTTTATTCTACTGTGGTGATTGAGTCTTCTGCAATATTGAAGTATGAATCAGATATGTATTTTCTGTGATTAAATACATAAGTAATCCCAAATATTTACAAAATTTTACTAGAGCTATATCAAATTTCCTAAGCAAAAGATCTATACAGTGATTTATCTTAGTATTCAATCTTAAAGGTCAAGAATAGCATAACATTTCCCTCTTTTACATCTGGCAGTGCATAGAATTAGGAGGGCAGATGTAATAAAACAAGAAGTTTATTTTAAACTAATTTTAAAGTTATTTTAAAATAAAAAAATGAACCAATTCTTTCATTATGTTATATACTGAAATGTGAAAATGATTCTCACCCCTTATTAGGTGAGAACTACATTTCACAAAGGAAAGTATTTTTTCAACATTTCTTCTTTTGATGTAGTATTGTTTTATTAGATATCACTACTGTCAGTTATACATAATTTTGTCTTTCGCTTTTCATTAAATTGCATTTCTTTGCTTGACAAGGGTGCTCTGTAAGTCATGTGATCCATGCCTTTTTTTCTAATATCTATTTGTCATTTCATAGGATTTCTAGTTTTATCCAATGTATAAAATGGGCAAATAATGAACAATTTAAACCATTGCAGCTAAAATACCTAAAATTGAAGAATCTTAGATTCAAAGATGGTGTTGTGGATGGATGAACATTCTCAAATGTTCAATTACATTGTGAAGTTGGCATCATCTAACAGCAACATTTTTAGAAAATGCATATCAAGTCTTGGATTGCTCTGTCATTAATGCAGCAATTTCTCAATTTGCAGAAGCTCATTTTCCATTTGAGATTTAAAACAGTATTTTTGAAGATATTTTACATTATAAATTGCTACAGTAGCTTTGAAATAGGAGATCTGATATGATATACAGAAAACATAGCTTTTTGGTTTATTTTTGTTTCATATAATAATTTTTATTCCCAATATTTTTTGGCAATCGGGTTCAAGGAGGAGATCTGAAAAACAAAGCTCCCATTTTCCTGTAACAGAAATTAATGAAGACTTTAACCTGTCTTTGGTGGGAGTGACTTCAATAAGTATTCTTACAGTGCATTGTAATTGAGTACAATAGTCCAGTGACTAAACCAGAAGTTAAGCAAGACTTCCATTGATTAAACTAGATTGCTACAATATTATTTCAGTATCCATCTCAAAGACACAGCTACCTATGGAAATTCATGTACAGAATTCCATTCTTCATATTACTTAAAATATCCCTATCCACGCCTGCCCTTAAATTGTACTGCAGAGTAGCCAAGGAAAATATATTTAGTAAGAACCTGAGGAGAAAGGAAGCAAATAATAAAAGTTGGAATTATTTTCATATGGAAGTTACAGCGAAAACTATTCCTTCCAGATTTTTTGTTTGTTTGTTTGTACATGTACCCGGGGTGGGATTCAAATTTTTTAACAACCGGTTCTGTGGGCGTGGCTTAGGTGGTGGGCATGGCTTGGTGGTCATGTGACTGGGTGGACATGGCTTGGTGGTCATGTTATTGGTTGGGCGTGGCCAACTCAATATCAGTCACATTGAGGCACGCTTCTCCTCGCCTGGTCTCTCATGACTGTGGGGATGCTGCAACAGTCATAAGTGTGAAAAATGGTCATAAGTCACTTTTTTCAGTGCCACTGTAACTTTGAATGGTCACTCCACACAAGTTAAGTACCAGCAAAGGAGGGGGGAAAAACTCTAGAGAAGTTCCAGAGACAGGAATTCTAGTCCTCCCAACAATGTAATAAGGGTTAATGGAGAGGCAGTTTCTGTAATGAACAGCAGAATGTTTCCTTCCTGCCTTCTTACAGGATTAGGCCAGTAATTTCTTCTAACAACTGTTAGAATGTTAACAACCAGTTCTAGCGAATAGGTGCAAACTGGTAGAATCCCACCACTGCATGTACCCCGAGGTAATGTAGGAAGGCCCATAGAGCATCCAAGCCTTCAAGATGACATGACACCTGAATGTTTCAGGCACTTCCAATACTTCCTAATCCCCACCACCAGATGGGTAACAGGCCTTAGGACCTACCTTTGAAATTTTATTTAAATAAATAAATAAAGCAAGCAAGCTAAGGAGTGGGAAATTGGTAGAGTTAAGGCAGTGTTCCCAACTACTGTTTGTGGAGACCAGTGGTTGAAAAAAGAATGGAAAGGGAAATTATACAATAGTGAAATAATAATTATGTATGATTTGTCATATCCCAAAATGCCATGTTGGTATTTCTGACTTTCAAATTAGGCATATATGAACACGGCTTTACCTGCATAATGTAGCATAAAAGTCATTTACTTCTTCAAAGTCAAGTAACCAACAAGAGTTTTTAGCCAATGTAAAACTAGAGCTACTTTAAGCTCCACACAAGAAAGTGAAATATATAGCAGAACTGTCATGGTAATTAGAAGACTAAATAAGAGAACATACTCATGCCCAGATGATTAACTTTACTGCCAAAAGCATAGCATAAGCTTAGCAGCATAGTGAAGTTTAGAAGTCTGGAGGATCTGGCTCTTATCATAATGCCTCTGTCACTAGATCACAAATTATCTTGTAACAAACATGTGCTGTTCAAATCTATGATATATCTCTTTCATCCATTAAAATAGTTGGAATTTAACAAGTTGTTTTATTTCAGCTATCCATCAAAAACTAGAAGCGGATGGAACAGAAAAAGTAGAAGGATCCATGACGCAAAAACTAGAGAACGTTCTCAACAGTAAGTTTTGTACAATGCTACTTCCTTTATTTTAAAAATAATAAAATGGATTTTTTCCCAGCATTTGTTTCTGAATCTTAAAACTATATGAAACTTGATAATTTACTACTTGAATTCTGACAGTGTTGCAGAGACTGATGCTTGAAATAAAAAAAAGGTTTAAAGAGTTCTGATGCCCTGTAGTATTCTGACAGCCTTTAATGACAAAGGGGTAATGTGGGTCTATTTGTTTAAACCCTATCGTTTAAATTGAGGAAATGGATTTGAATAAATGGTGAGTTGAATCTATGTAACTGGTTTTTAAAGTAAAGTTTCCATAGAAAAAGGTTAAGTTTCAAGCAAGATATGATCAAATGCAAATTTAAAGTTTACTTTTAGGGAAAATGGGAGTGTAGAAGATGAATTCAAAGTCATCAGCCTTTTTATTTCTTTAGGCTCATCTATACTGAATTATAGGTTTCAGACTTTTTAATTTTTGCAGCTTCCTTTATAGCTTCAAGAAGTTTTATACCTGACTAGTTATTTAACACATTTAATCCAGTTATTCCTGTAGAACTGTTAAGATATAGTGTTTTTTTTTTAAATAAGCAACTCTTCCATAAATGAAAATAAGAAATTTATCTTTTTAGAATGGCATTTTGCAGATAGATATTTATGACAGATTTTAAAACATTTTTTTCAAATTAGTACTTTTTTAAAATTTTGATGGAGAGTTAATTAAACAACCTCAGAATGGCACATTTGAAAAATAGGAAAATAGCAATGAAGTCTTAGATATACCAGAAAATACATTTTCTCTAATTCACTGTTTTTCTTTGCATAGTTTTGAATATATTAGCTTTCTGTTCAGATTAAATAAAAGCAGCATGTCTCAAACCCAGAAAAGGAAGTGGCTTGTTAATTTTCCCTATACCTTTAATAATTCCATATCGCCTCTAATACTGATCGTTTGGACCCCATTAATGAAGTGGCTGAATTCAGGGAAGAAAATGCATGAAAAATACTAGTGGACAAAACTACTCTTCATAATCATATATTGAGTTCCAGTCTAAAGAAATGCAGAAATTAGCAGAGTTGTGCTCATGTGGAAGGAAGCTGTTTTGGATCTAATCTTCATTCTTGTTCCTTTCCTTTGTATCCCTCGGTGTCATGAAACCCTGTGCAGAAGGACTAAAAGATCCCCTAAGGAACATGACAAGTCCTGAAGGGCTGCAGGGAGAATGAGTGAATTGGCACAAATCCCTGCCTGCCCTGTCCTTTCAGCAGAAGAGCATGCCCCGAATCACGTTTGGCTCTGTGACTAGCCATTAACTTTCAATTGACGCATTTTTTTCCCAGTTTCTGGCAAGGAAGAAAATTTATCTGGAAAAGAACTTTATTTTCCATAGGGCTTGGACTGACTTGACCTTTCTTAGGAAATCAGGTTAATGTTATAGAGAAGGTGTATATAATACATGGGTAATAGAGTCCATCTAAATTAAGTGATTGAATTATTTAAAGTAGCAGCTGTATATAATGTTGGATTTCACTTTGCCATTTAATTCAAGAGACATGAATGCATCTAAAAGAAACAGAATGTGACGGGGAACTGCACTTGTTTCCTTTCAAGAGCTCCACTCTCTCTCCCTCTCTCTCTCCCTCTCCATATACATACATAAGCACCCACTTTTTTTTAAAGAAAGATATTTCAGTGCAAGAAAATGCACGTTGTGGGCATATCCAGATGATTTTGTTAACTTTTTTTCCGGAGAGGAAATCCTAGAGAAGCTATTTTCCTTTATTCTGTTTGTATCCCGATCTGAGGATTCTTTGCCTTAAGGTGTTATTACCAATTTTAGAATATAAGCATAGCCTGTGAAAGAGAGAGAGGGGGGTGGGAATGTTTTTTCTTCTTCATCCTTTTTGTGACATTGTGTATATTATTTGCAGCTTATAAATAGAATTACTTCATTTCAGCCATACAAAATACATGTGTTTTTGTATATCTCTAATTTATCTCAATATTTAGGTGGTTGGGTGGGAAGGGAACATACAACAATAATATGCATATTATTAATTTTTATAGAAGAATAAAGGTAATAGTTTTGAGAATCCTATAAAAAGGTGAAATTGCTATTATAAAATTAACTGAACGGGTACCAGTACTTTTGAAAGAAAGAGTTTTTTAAAAAAAAAATACAAATAACTGTTAATAAAAATTAGAAGAAGCTTTATTTTATCTGAAAGCAACAATAATTTTTACCCAAAGCATTAAACTTTGGAAAAGAGACTTTAGTTAATTATACACTAGGAATATGGTGCATTAGGAAGGTGAATTTTTATTGACTAGTTTTCTTTGTGAACATCATTTTTATTTTCATAAATCTGATAGAATATTTTTCCCCTAATTCCTGGTCTTTTTTACTGGAAGGGTACTTTATACTATTATTAGAAGGATTTTTGCAGATGTTCTTTTTAAAAGCAAGTTCTATGTAGCTTTTAACCTTTGAAACAGTTGGAAAAAAATTAAAAAAACTTAATGCTCTTGAAGTTTCCCAAGTATGATTATTCATAGTTTAAAATTTTTAAAATTAAATAACCAAAATATATCAAATCTGAAACAGTAGACAAATAATGCCATATTATTACTGTTTTTAATTAAATACCTTTTTAAAAGCATTTCTTGACCATTTTAATTATTTTACTATCTCCTAATTAGAGTGTTATTTTCCTTTCACTATTCATGTTTGCTAATCTTTTTCAATCATAAGATATTGAAAATAAAATTATAAGCAATATCATGTTTGAATATCAGGTAACTTTGTCTCCCTCTCCCTACCAAATAAAATGTAGTAGGACCAATTCTCTTGACAAAACAGAGTTACTTGCATTAGGGTCTTGAAACATCAACAGTGTTTAAACGCTATTTAGATATAACAATTATTTTACAAAGGCTACTTTTAACATGAGCAGGCCACCCACAGTGTGACGAGAGAAAATGGCATGCAAGCCACCCAGTGAGACTGATGTAATTTTTTCATCTTTGCTTAAATTATAGTCACTAGACCAGATAATGTAGAAAGTTTTACAGGCAGCCATCAAAAGGGATAGAAACATTCACTTTTTTTCTGGTAAATTAAAGGTAAGTCACAAGTTGGGGGAAAATTAACATATTTGACACATCTTTATTATGAGAAGGAAAGGAAAGGACTTTTTTTGGTGGGGTTTAACTCTGAAACATGCCCATCAAATTTTAAACACTAAATGCTCTTAAATGTAACAAGTAAATGTTTGAATATTTTATTATTTGAATAGTTTAATGCAGAATTTCTCAGTCCTTAGAATCATTCTCACATTCCTGCTTGAAACCATACAGCTCTCCTCAAAATCATGGAATTTGATACAGAGAATAGGGTCAAAATTTGCGATGTGACTAATGGTTTAAATCATTATTTTAACGAAATGTCCTAATGGAGTTCTTCAGTGAAAAAGAATAAAAAGTTCCTTTCAGATATATGTGGCTCAAACGTCACAATATTGGTACTCTGTCTTCTGTATTCAGTGAATTTTAAGTTACTCTGTTCATATCAGTAAAATTAAATTCATGCTTATTTCATTGTGTTCTGTTATGAAAGGAGAATATTAGTAATAATCAAATTTCCTACAAGACATAGCTGGAACCATATAATTCAGTTTTGTAGCCAAAGGAAACTCTAAAGTTATGCAATGAATTTCAAGCATTTGCTTCAGGAATGGAAGTTGTTTTAAATGCACTTTGGTTTCTGCCGCGCAAAAAATCTAAGCAACCAATAGTAAATATTGATTCAGAACATTTATAAGCCAAAACATTTCTCATATAAACACTTACCGTTGTTGATGTATGTTTACTTGTATAAAAAGCTTGATAAATTTTTGATTAAATTTAGCAAGAGCTGCAGCTTATCTACTTCTTTGTCTCCTTTTCTTAAAAGGGGCAAGTAATACCGCAGATACATTGTTCCAAGAAGTTTTGGGCCGCAAAGACAAGGCTGATTCAACAAGAAATGCCTTAAATGTTTTACAGCGCTTCAAATTTCTTTTCAATCTTCCATTAAATATTGAAAGAAACATTCAAAAGGTACTAATACTACAAAATGCAAGTTAAAGTATTTTGCCCCAAATTTCCGATTCAAATTTCTTAAAACTTGTTTTTATGTTTTTAAGGGAGATTATGATGTAGTTATTAATGACTATGAAAAAGCAAAGTCATTATTTGGAAAGACTGAAGTTCAAGTCTTCAAAAAATGTGAGTTTGGCATTTTGTTAAATGTGATTTTAATTTTAGTAGGGAATATTCATGAGAGCAAACTCAATTCCTATCTCTGCTGAGTAGTTTTATCTTCTGCTTGTATAGCATTGTAATGTTTGAAATGCTTTCTTAAACTGTGCGTGGCAATGTTTCTGCCTCGGAAATATATATTATTTTGTACTGTGCATAACAAGACTCGTAGCTGGTAATTTTCAGGTTATGTACTTTGTGGATGTATTTTTTAATGAGTTCAAAAATTGCAGTTTGCAGTTTATAAAATAATTCAAGGCATATTTGCTTGGGATAAGGTTAAAACTGAAATTTCTTAGTTTCAAAACAGAAAAAGGGCTGTTGTTATTCTGAAAATATGCATTTCCAGATTGATCAATTAATAGTTACATGGACTTTGAAGTGAATTGAATTATAATATAAATTAAAATTTTCTGACTAAAAGATCAGAGAAATTTAGGAAGACTTGAGAGCCAACAAGTTTGATACTGAAGTAATTTCTTATACTTTGTTCATTTGAATTATAAAGGTTATAAAAATAATTTTATACTTTAGTAATTAATGGCATTCATTCTAGGGTTAATTATGGTGTTGTGTTTTGAAATTGTAGATTATGCTGAAGTTGAAACACGAGTTGAAGCATTAAGAAAACTTCTTTTGGATAAATTACTTGAGACACCATCAACATTACATGACCAAAAACGCTACATAAGGTTACCTTTTTTATTTTATTTTTTAAAAATATGTTCTTTATATAGGCAGTAACATTTCCTTGTTATTATATGAGAAAACATCCTACTAAAGAACAATTAAATATACTGTATATTTTGTATCCAGAATACTTTTCTGCAAACCAAAAAATTCTTTTTATTAATATTGTGAAGAGAACCAAAAACAGCACAAGCTCTCCATTTCAAAGAAGCAGTTGAACTGGCAATTTTAGCTTTTCTTTCTATTCATTCTCAGACTATAGTACTACCTCATACATTGCTTTCAACATTATACACAGTTTTTATTTTATTCCTTTTTTAAGATTTTGAGCAGTTTCTAGAGGCTGTACTACATTACATTATAGAATTTCATTTTCTGTGCATGTAAGACAGGGTTCACTGCTCCATTATATATAAAACAGAAATACCATTTTTATGTTTAATAGTTTAAAAGAATTTGGAGAAAATCATTTTTGAAAATGTGCTAAATTTTGTACGATTTGGGAACTTGTCTCACTGATATAATGCATTCCTTTACTACCATGTTTCTCCAACAATATGGCCTCCACCAATAGGAAGGCCCAGCATGATTTCTAGGCATGAGGTGAAATTAAGCCCCACCCCCCAAAATTAGGGCTATTTAATCCAGGGGACACACACGCACACTCCCCTCGCCGCGAGGCCGCTTCTACTGGCCGATCGAAGTGGCTGGTGACTGCCCTTGGGGAGCTTCCATCGCCTGAAAGACACTGTCTAATGGCGAGGGGACACGGGCAGTCATGCCTCGCCCCAAAGTGGCTGGGGATTCTACCTTCAGGGAGCTTTCATGGTCCGATAGAAACGGCCTGGTGGAGAGGTACGTGCATATGGGCCACTCTAGGTGGGGGAGGAAATTAAGTCACCCCCAAAAAGACGACCTAGCCATTTTTTCGGGAGTCAAAAAAAAAAAAGCCCCGGCCTTATTTTGTGAGAAACACGGTATGAGCCAGACTGGAGTCATTGTTCTATGAAAGTCTAGAGCATTTGAACGGTATTCTTTACTTCAATCAGTTTTTCAGTGCATCTCCTGGTATGGGAAAAGAAAGGGACACTCTGGTCTTTACTATGTACTCTTCTGGTCTTTATCCTATTATTAAAAATAATAATGAAGTATGAATTACTGCATTAATAAATGTCTCATTGCCATACCTGTATACTTACTTCTTCATGCTGGGCAATCGTAATTCAAAGAAAACATGTAAGAGCCAAAATAGGTTTGCCACAGGAGATAATATTTAAAACCATTGCAGCAGAAGTGGGGATTTGTATGAGGTTTGAACTATAAGACCTTCTGAAGCACTTTTGAGTATACCTCATCCCATATATCCTGAAACCTCTTTATTTTTTATATAGTCGACAACTCAGAATATACACTTTCATGCTATCCTTTCCAAAATACATAACATAAGGAATATTGTAGAAGCCAGTGCTGATTTATTTAAAATTCATCCCCTGCATACATTACAAAATCTGCAGAACATCAGCCGACCATGTTTTACAGTCAAAATCTTCCCCTAAAGAAAATTCTTCACTTTTCAAAGCTATAAGGACTAATATTATAGAACGTCCAAATTGAGCATTGTTCTCTTTTTAAAATCTATATCACAAAAGTTTTGACTTAATTGTCTATTTATGGATCTTTCCTTCAGTTATGTACAGTACATGTAGGACAGATTCCCCATGCCTGACTTGATTTCAAAAAAGGGGAGCTTTGTTTAGTAGTATACAGGTAGTTCTTGACTTACAACCACAATTGAACCCAAAATTTCCATGGGTAAGCAAGGCAGTTGTTAAATAAGTTTTGCCTCATTTTATGACTTTTTTGCCACAATTATTAAAAAAGTCATTGCAATTGTTAAGTGAATCATGTAGTCGTTAAGCAAATATGGCTTCCCCCATTGACTTTGCTTGTCCTAAGCCAGCTAGGTAGGTTACAAATGGTGATCACATGACTGCGGGACAATGCAACTGTCATAAATACGTGCCAGTTGCTAAGTGGCTGAGTTTTGATCACGTGATCATAGGGATGCTGCAAGAATCCCAAGTGTGAAAACTGCTCATAAATTGCAACTTCTGTTGTAACTTCTAGCGAATGGTTGTAAGCTGCAGGCTGCCTGTAGTTTTGAATCTCAGTTTCAGGCATCTGGAGTAGAGGAGTAAAAGAACTACCCCAGGCTAGAATAAATACTAAGTAGATGGTCAAAAAGTTTGATCTGGTATAAAGTATATGCTATTGTTGCTCTTTTAGATAAAGTATCTGAAGAATGAAATCAAATAAAAACAAGACTAAAAATAAACAAATGAGTAGATCCATGCAACATTTCCCTGAAAGTTCTTAAACTGGTCAAATTTAAATTTGATTTTTGAGTAAAACTTTGGTTCTAAGATGTATTTTTTTCCGTGCTAGGACAGTGGAAAATAGACAATTAACATCTTTAGAAAGGGGGTAGAACATTCAGGAAATTGCAAAGAATTTAACCTATTGTTTCTTCAATTGTGGAAAGAATTACTGAAAACAATAATAGACGTTTTGGAGTGTTACTGAGGTACTGAACTAAAATGCAACCTGCAGTGATAGTTCTTGTCTCACTATGCCTTTAGAGTGTCAACAGGTGAATGAAAGCAAACAATATTTAATTCTCGGACTCTTGAAAAAAGGGGCCTCACTTAGCTCAGTAATCATGAAATATTTGATTGACAACTGACTGAAGACAAGGAACAAAAAGTTTGAATAAAGTTCTTGGTTGAGTCAGATCAGACGTTTGGTTCCTTCCAAATGGGAACAAGTGCTTCCTTGACTTGTTTATAAATTACTAGTTTCTGGAATTAGGATGAATTGTAGGTTTGCTTAAAGTGATGAAGTACAAAGCAGCTGCAAAAAAAGATATCATGAATGAATATACAACATTATAGCAGATGAAGTTCAGTCAGAATTCCAAAGTAATCCTTACTGGTACAAATACAGTATTTTTATCTTCATATTAATTGATACATCTGGAAAAGGAAATTTGATAGTAAGTTAAATCAGTGAAAGCACTCGATGTAGAGAAATCTCAAAGAGAAGAAAATAATAACTGTTTTTGTATACAGTTCTGTACAAATCAAAGGCAAAAACTGCCGACAATTGCAGTTACTGTAATTGAAAACTGTATTTGGAATTGTGAGGAGGCTGAAGCAGTTTGCTCCCCCCAAAAAAGAATAATATTTTTTTTCCATTGTAAAAATGGTAGCTCTGATAAATGCCAAGAGCTGACAAGCAAGACTAGCACATTCCAGAAATTGGTGTCATAGTGGACATGCCTAGTCATAAAATATGCCAGAAATCAAACAGGATTGTGGTTGCTTCTCTACAACCAATTTAATAGTGGGAGAATAACAGCTATTTCATTTATTTCCAGAAGTATTTCAGGTTACTTCTAAGCAGATGGTCACATTTTCAAGTTAAGGAAAGTTATGTAGCCCTCCACAATATTTCTTTTATAAGATTACCCCTTGGGGCCCCATTCATATGTGCCAACATGCAGCTTTATAAAATGTTATAAATATTTTGTAGTCATCCTTGGGAATAATAATTGTGTGGGCATCTGAGTCTTTGCAGTGTTTCAGCTTTCCATTTATTTACTCGTTTTTATTTTTAAAAATCTAAAAAAATCATTATGAAACTGTTGGTTCCAAAATTATGATTATGTGTGTGAAGTTGAACGATGAAGAAAAGTACAATGGAGGACATGGATTAATTTTTGGAATATTCTAGAAAGAGCTATGGGCTATTACTAAAGACTAGTCAAAATAGTAAGCATTTGCCTATGAAGCCAGTAGGCAATGGGATTGACTCAATGGTACCTAACTTAAGACATAGTGATAGAAAGAAATTTGCTTCCTTCATTTTTAAAAAATAACAACAACTTTGAGTGAACCAGAGAAAAGAATTGACAGAATTCATGCAACCAGTGAAACAGTTTGTATGTTTTATTTTTCCAACATCAGTCGTGGTTATTAGTTTATATAATAGAAAAGGGGGAGGGAGTGGTTAGAGATGGCTTCATGACTTGTGGATAATTTCCCAATAGCATCTGCTTAAAGTTTTTGTTTTTGTGTTCTAAATCTTGTTCAAAGAGCCTCATTTAGATGTTATGCATTGCTTAGAAAAATGCTACCTTATCAAGAATGCAAAATCAGCATCAGTCTAAACTGGCAATTTGCTTCCATAAGAGGTATGATTTAACACGGGCAGAGATTACTGTTCAATTAAATCAGGATTTGAAGGAACTATTGAGTAATGAATTATTTAATGAAAAGCAACTTTAAAAAGATTAGTGGGTAATGGCATATTTATTGATAATACCAATCATGTGGAACTGCAAAAGCTTCTTTATTAAGGAACACAGGATCATTTGAAGATTCATATATTGGCCTCTCATTGTCTGTGGCTGTATATAATGCAGTGAGGATGAGGCAAACAGTGCCATCTCTTGTAATTCGTAACTATTTTAAGGAATTTACTTGCTTCAGACTCAGTAGTAATTGATGAGCAACAACACTCATGAATTCTATCATCACATTTAGTGATCTCATATATGACTGTGTGCAAAACTGTCTGTACCCAACAGTTCTTGGTGAAAGATCACCTAACATTCAGATTTGGAAATGTATGCTTGTTTTTCCAATGAAGAATACCCTGGTTCTCCAACAATACGGACTCCCCCAATAGGAAGTCCCAGCATGTTTTATAGGCATGAAATGAAATTAAGCCCCTCCCTCCCAAATTAAGGCCTATATTAAAACATGCGAAATGGGGGGGAATGGTGGGGTTTGCCATTAGGAAGTACTTTTGTGGCACATCTGGATATGATGCTGCCTGCGTTGACCCCGATATGAAGTGCCCCACCAACGCCAAGATCAACATCCAAGCCATCGCCGCCCACCCGAAGATGCAAGGGGGAGGGAATTAAGTCACCCCCGAAAAGACGGCCTAGCCATTTTTTCGGGGCTCAAAAAAAAATAAGACCCAGCCTTATTATATGAGAAACACGGTACAGTTTGCTCAAGTAACCATCTGAATGGGGGTACTATGTGTAATTTTTTCTCCCATGTCATCTTTCAAAAATGGATAATGAATAATTGTTCTGTTGATAAACTGGAGCTGCTCCAAGAGCTTAAAAGTGGGTTGGGGCCTTCTCCATCTTTATAAAACATAGAAACGAAGCGGTGCTAAGGCAGAGCAGGCAATAGACTCAACTGCTATTCTGTGCCATGTAACGAATGGCATATGTTATAACTGTGCCTCTATTTCTATCTTTAAAGGGTTAAATACATCAGTTTGTGTTGACTTTTTAGCTTTCTATTGCAAAGACAAAATCTTGAATACGTGCCAATGTTGAATGAACATGGACTGACTTAACTATATTAAATAATGCCAAAGCTTTCAAACCACATAGAATGAGGTGACTTACTGAGGCTTAAATGATTAATATTGCCTTGATATGTTACCAGGATATATCACATGAGCCCCTCCTATGTTAAAACATTACTATGCACTGGTAATATGGGTTGTCATTAGTTTGGGTCCCACTAGCTCCTCTGATTAACAATCGTAAACACCGCATGCAATATTAAGAGCCCCATGATAAACATAGCAGGTCTGGGTCTGATTAGCGCCTGGGTGGAAGCATACGCCAGAGCTCCATCTGCATCAGCTTCCATTCCATGGAAGAAAGGCAGGATATAAATCTAATAACTGCACTAGGATAAGGATGTGAAAACTACTTTACTCTTGGAAAACAGCATACTGGTATACTTGCCAATATAATTACGTTGAAACAGTTTCCATGTCACAAAGAAAAGATATATCTTATTTAACTTTAAAAAAAAAACAAGTTCATGAAATGATGGGCTGTGTTTTCGTAGCTATAAAAGGCGCTGCCTGCTTTTTGGGTGCTATTTTTTAAATGTGACCCTGACAAACACCGGGTAATGAAGGTCGCACAACTCCCATTTCAATTATGTTTTCCTAACTCTGTGCAGCTCTAAATGTGGAAACTTATTTCTGAATGCAATTAGATAAAATATTCATACATTAAGAATTATGACACACTTTGTGAAGAAACAATTTCAGATTTTTGGCTGTCCTTCTAAAGGGGTATCAGAGGTGAAAGGAGGAAAAAAAACGAAGTTCCTAATAACTTAGGAGTAATCTCAGTAAAACCTAATCATAAGTCTTGTCCATTAAAAAAAAACTGTTTCCTCTTTTTATCCATCCCTGCCCCAAATGTATGAAAATAATGAAATAGAAGCAGATTATGCATGCAAATTCATATTAAGAAGCCAGAGTTTAAAATAGTGCAGTTTAGCAAAATAAAGTAAATAAAGAGGGAAGCATATTTGTACTACATAAGAAAATTAAAATGTTTGAATGTTTAAATCCAGGTTATTTGGGTAGCAAATTATGAAAGCATCTGCCAAGTATTCTGATCAGTTCCAACTGCCTATATACAAGCAGTTCTTGACTTACAACCATTTGTTGAATGACTGTTCGAAGTTACAACAACATTTAAAAAAATGACTTATGACTGTTTTTCACACTTACAACTATTGTAGCATCTCCCTGATCATGTGATCAAAATTGGGACACTTGGTAGCTGGCATGTATTTTTGATGATTATAGTGTCCTGGGATCATGTGATCTCTTTGTATGACCTACCTAGCAAAAGCCAATGGGGAAGTCACATTCACTCAACCGCCATGTTATTAATTTCACAACTGCAATGATCCACTTAAAGTTGTGGGAAGAAAGGTCGCAAAATGGGGCAAAACCCATTTAACAACTGTCTTGCTTAGCAATGGAAATTTTGGGCTCAATTGTGATGATATCTTGAGGACTGCTTGTACCTTATTTGTAATATAGAGGAGCTAAATAGAACAGTTTCCAAAATGACTCATGGACCCAAAATGGGGCCAAGCTTTGAATAAATATTCATAGATTTTTCACTGTTGTTATGTATCAGCTTATGTATAATTAGAAGATGACACCCCAGATAAAGTGCTGGAAGCATATTTAAATAAGTGCTCATATTAGTAATTTCCAAATAATAGTCACTTTTAATCTGTTGCAGCAAAAGCTGTAAAGGACCTTGTAGTTGTTTAAAAGTCAGCAGATTTATTCAGGCTTAAGGTTTTATAGGCTACAAACTCAGTTCCTTAAAGGTTGACCTAAACTGATAGATTGCATGGTATTTTGTAATGTGAAGTTGAGGGCAATTCAGCACAGAAACTGCAAACAATGTTCATACAAAATAATCGTTTATGTTGCATAAACATTTTGGAATTCATAGCAGTAAGTTCAAAATGACTAAATACCTTTGGTAGTTATCATAGTGAAAATTAACTTTTCCTGTCAAGCACTATTTTTTGAATGATTGCTATTAATTATACAATTTTTATACTTTCTATTATTCACTTATCCTTGTTCCCAAGTTCTGTTGTCTCAGACCATATTTTTTACCCACATAAATATCTCCTATGAATAACGTTTTATGAATCTGCAATGGGACTCTGATTAAGAAACAACGTTCAGCTAGCAAATTTTATGGGAAAACAAACATGCTACCAGTTTTTTGTTTATTTTTGGCTATAATAGACTAATACAATTCTCTTTCTACAATATAAGTTTAAGTATTTCTCAAACTAGTCTTGGATTCTGGTGACTTCACGGGAACATCCATGCAGTTTCATGCAGTGGTTTTCAATTATTCTTTTCAAGTCTTTTCTTTCAACTTCCTAGTCTAATCTACAACCTTGGAATTTCCTGGTGCTCTCCCAAGTCCTGGAAAATTCTGCCCCTGAGAACCTTTTTTTATCCCTGCTTATTTAGATTAACCAGAGGCTTCTATTTAATGGGGATTAACATAAAATAGTGTTAACAAATAATAAATGAAATCTCATCCCATACTTAATATTTAGAATAGTGTTTCTAAAAACAATTTTATACTGATTTTCCGAGAAGTAAGCTCAACTGAATTTAGTGGGAGCAAGGAAACACATTGAGGAAAAGCCTGCCAAACGTTGCATTCCAAACCTTCTTTCTTCAAAATTACAATTTTATAGATACCTTTCGGACCTCCATGCAGAGGGAGACCCAGCTTGGCAATGCATTGGTGCACAACATAAATGGATTCTGCAGCTTATGCACAACTGTAAAGAGAGCTACATTAAAGAACAAAAAGGTAATTCTATTTCTGCGTAGGGAAGTCTCTTAACACTGCAACATTTCTCTTCATTCAGTGTAAATATTTTTTTTTAACTGTAACATTTTTAATCATGGTTTGCATTTGAACTGAACTTTACAATTTTTTATGTTTCAAACCGGTACGTCTTGCAACCTTAATTATTTATAAAATTAAGATCATTCAAGTTAGGTTTACTACTAGAAGAAAGGAATTGGATCTCTCTGTATGAGAAGCAGGCTGAGACGTTTTCCACAGCTGTTTCTCTTAACTTTCTCTTCCTTTTGCTGAAAAAGACGAGCAGATTGTGTGCATCACTTGCTTCTTTGGTGTTCATCCTCAGGCTTCAGTTCCTAAATACTGTTGGAAGAAAATGAATTTGACTTATTGCAGGGTACATGAAGTTTATCATCTTGATGATAAGAGTTCTTTAATGAAAAATGTATCTTTATTGAAATAGGCTTTACCTAAGTGTCTAAAATGAAACTGTAAACAATTGTGTAGAATGAAAGCCGAATCTGTTTTTATTCCGTATCTTGATAAGCATGTTTTATTTGGGTCTTTCCCCACCCACCACCCACCCCTGGTGTACAAGAAAGAGGGTTTTTTTTTCATTGTTTTCAAGCTAAGGAACACACTCCCCCTGCAGTTGTGTTTGAACCCTTGGTTTCAGTGTTCAGAAAATCTATCAAAATGCATTTCTTTTGCCAGATTTTTAATAGATTTAAAAAAAGGCTCAATTTATTGTTAGTTTTTATTAGATTGTTTTATTTATGATTATTATGTTTGTTTTTTGTTCTTTATTTTTTTAGCGGCCTTAAATATTTACCAGAAATGGAATAATGAGGTATTAAATAAGTTGAAAAACTGCAGCTTTTTCAACCTACACCAGAACTCTAAAATACAAAGGGAGGGGAAAGAATTGAGTTCACAGGTACATGAGATTTTTTGTGGGTGAAAACAACAAATGTGAAAACAACATATCAACAATTATATTAAAGAGGATGGCTTTACACTACATTAAGCCATCATGTGACTTGATTCTAGCGTAATGGATTTATGAAACCATCCACTGGTGGTATACATAATTTCTTTCTTGGAATGAATTTACATACCAGTATTATGTTAACTCTAAAACAAACTGAATTACAATAACCACAAGAGTGCTGTCAGTCAGAATTTTCCATGCTGAGTAATGTGATAAAACTACTTCTTCCAGTTTGGGAAGAATTATAATATGACATGGCTTCTAGGTCTGTATTTTTTGTTGTTTTCATTTTTGTACTAGTAATAGAAAAAAGTCTTCAGGCTAGCTTCTCCTGATTTGTATATTATTATAAACATGTGGATAGAAGGGCTGTACAATTTAGATAAACAGTTGATGAGTTTATTTGTTAAGAAAATGTGAATTAATCCTATTATTAATTATGAAGGAAAATCACAATTCCTTTACAGTGTGTTGCATACTTTTTATTGCATACTTCTTTTTTAAAAGGAAGGCAGATTTTTCAGTTCTTCTAGTTAAAAAAAGCTTTATATTAAATTACTAACAGTTATACCTAAGGACAAAATAATCAGAATATAGTATGACTTTTTCTTGTCTTATGCAACATTTATATTCACCTTGCAATGTATGGTATATTTTTATTTGATCAGGTAGACCAATATGGTCTGTGTCAAAAAAGCTTTTAAAATTTATTATCTTAGCAACTGGTTCTATTGTTTTTGTATAGTGGGCATATGGAGGATGCACTTTTACAGCTGTGGGGTATTTTATGTTTAATCCCTATCTCCCATTCCTAATAATAAAAATATAAGAATATTTTTGTAATACCTAATGATAAGCCTTGGCATGGTATCAAACAATACATTGTTAATTATTGAAATGATTGGCAAACCTAGTAAGTCTTCATCAATTTAGCATAATTTTAAAGATTCTTGAGATGATAATTTATTTCTTTTGATTTCATTTTTAAAACAATATGAAACTAGTCATGACTGCATTAGTATAAATCTATGTAATATGGATGTTAAATGAATAATAAAGGGAAAGCTAGGGAAACTCCTATATATCTTAACTAAGAATTTTGTCAAGAAATCTGTGAAGAAATACATTCCTAAATCCTATTTAAATTAATCCAGTTTCAAATACTATGTAGTTCATGCAAATATTCATGCAAGCATTCAGAAGGAGATGCTGTATATAACTTCACATGTTAAATGTGATTGATAAATGGCTCCATTTCAAAACTGGTTAAGTTTGCTTATCCACTGGCATCAAACAAACCTGAAACCATACACTCACTACAACTTTCATAAATGCACCTAGCAGTAATTGCAGTTGGATTCAGAATATTTTCTCATCTCTTGCAGATTGGAAACAGGAGCAGAAAATTAATGCACTGAGTAACTAGATATTATTGTCCTCCATTGCTCCCTCTTCCCTGAGTCTTCCAACTCCCAGGGAATGGCCGGGGCTCAGGACCCCAGAAGGTGGTTCCGATTGGAACAAAGTTTAGGGAGTACTGGCTTAATATCAGGTTCCAAGTAATGCAACCATCATAAAACGAACTCCAAGGCATTTCAATTCCTCAAAGAACAAGTTTATTAAGATACACCATCTTGACACTAACTAGTGGAAAGCCAGTACTGAAGGCTTCCTGGCTTTCCACATCACTATAACTAAGATTTTCCAATTTTCCAAAACAATATGTCACATTGTCCAACCGGAATGTAAAACAATTGCCTGGCGACTTTGCTCCTCCTTCCTCTGGCCAGGCAGCCATTGGAACGTGGCTGACTCATTGTCCAGCTATGTTGTTTTGGCTGGAACTCCACCCACTTCAGCTCTCCTCCCTTTCAGCTCCCAAATGTGTCAAACTGAATTCATATGAATAACCCAGATATAAACCAATCCACTATCTAACCAAATTCAGGCTTGACACTTATTTTCTAATCCAGCTGTATCGTTTGGTCCCAACCCATTTGGAGCGGGGCAGGTTGGGGAAGAGTATTGTGTTTCCTATCCTCTCCACCATCTTTGAGAAGCAAAACCAAAGAATTGGCTTCTTTCACCTCGGAACTGTCATTTTCCCCGTGCAATTCAAAGACTCCCAATGAGATCTAAATAATAAATAGGAGGGTTTGTTTGCCACTGTATTATTCACTTAAAGCATTAAGAGAAGCAATTGAGAAGCAACAAAAATATTAAGAATAGGCTTTATTTCCTCTTTTCATGAAAATCTCATGGTTTTTTTTAAAAAAAACCTCCTTTATTACTACAGATACTTTTAAGTCATTGGATTGATACAAATTTAGTTATAATTAACACAAAAATGGCTTAAATTAAGATTCATTTCATTCTTGTGTGGGAGTATTTTCAGTGATGTAACTTAATCTGAATCAATACAGTTTGTTCAGTATAAAAATGTAATTTGTATTTCAAATCAATCAATTTTTTTACAGTCCTAGACCAGAGACCAGAACAAATAACACTCTGTAAATATGCAATTAAAAATTATAGAATTAAAAAAAAACAGTTAAAATATAAAATCGCTTCTTGGCCTCCTGGCTAAGATGTAATTTGTATTTTAAATCTATGTTAAAAGTTTTTTTTTAATAGAAATAATCCATAGTAATAGCAGCAAACAGCATAATGAGACTAAGTAGCCTTTTTAGTGTGCATTTTTAATATCTATCATTGTTCTTTAGATTTTAATGATACAGGGTTATAAGGATATATTAAATGATATAAATAAATATATATAGGGTACGGAATAAACCAGCATTTTAAAATGTATTATCGCTTCAGATTAATTTTAATGGAACCTCCTTAATTCTTGCTCCAGAAAATTGAAAGTCTTCCATTTGAAAGGAATCCTATCCTACTATTGTTGATGTAGACTTTAGACACTGCCTGTTTGGTCAACAAGCAACAATGGGTGGTCAGGCTGCAGCATGGGACGAGGGCCTGCTGTGCACAAGAAAAAAAATGTTCAAAGGTGTTTAAAGGCAGTGAGGAAGTCTACTACCCTTTAGAGAATCCAGCAGCTACAGATCAGATTTTTTTTTCTTTGTGTTGTACCCTTTGTGAATGCTCAGGATATAGTGCACAAAGAGTAAATATAGTAATTTTTCCTATAATTTTAATAGACAATTTAATTTTATTAGAATGAAAATTTGTTCTCCATTTATAAATTTTCCATAAAAATTATAGAGCTCCATTACCTAACAATACGTTATCTAATATTGCAGTGGTATTTTCTTTTTATCTGATGGGATTTTCCTCATTTAAATGAAGATATTCAAACCAGACTATCACATAATGGAAACAAAATGTAATAACTACTTTTAATGAATGGCAGATAGTATCTCTTAATATTAAACCTTATTCATCAGCTCTCTTCAACCACTTTCAACTATCTCATTTTAATACTTGATAAGACTGCTTAATTTTAAGGAAAAATAAATGCAAGCTAAAACGTTCTGGGGGGAAATGATTGTACAATCCTTTTAACACTAGAAGCACATGGTAAAACTATTTTTAATAAACATGTACATGGTCACATACTTAGTAAATACAGTCAAACTATTATTTTGGAGATAGTGGCAATGTTAATAGCAATTTTTTATTTGCACCTATTAAAATAAGAACCTATTGAATTCAGTCTGCATGTTACATTCAGAGATGTTATATGTTTATTTTTCCAATGCAGCTATGACTTTGCATAACTAATACTGCTACATTGGTTGAAAATTGCAATCTCAATAAATGTCCTTGTAAGTAATATAACAAAGTGTTAAAATAAATCATATCAAGGTTTTTATTCACATTTCTTAAAATCGTCCTGATTAGTGCATTGTTTGTAGACATACATTCTTAATTTTACATCTGTGCTCGATTACATTAAGGTATCATGAATACATTTTTATGTAAACATAGCAAGGTAGGAATATTCCACCCAGAGAGAATATCATACATTTTGCATATATTATAATTG